CCAGCACCTTTTTGGCTGTTATTAGCTCCATGTCAAATGTAGTAACAAGAAATGCTGCCCCCAGCAGCTTGGCACCAAGATTTTACTGACAAGAATCACATTAGAGTCTAAATCATAATTTTTCAAGATACTTTGCGACACTGTTGAGATGCTTTAAGTACTGAAAAAAGTGAAAATAGGTAACTCTGAGAGTTCAAGGCTTTAGTATAATTCTTTAGCTCTGATTAGGCCTCAACTTAACAGCAAAAGGGAAATCTGCTTTAACGATGTCGGGAATGACAGTAACTCTCAAAAGGATTGCCTTTGTAGCATAAAAGTGACTTATGCCTGGACAATAACACGGAATTGCAACTGCCTTGGAAAAGAACTGGTGTTTACGAAGCATCAGTGTGCAAAGGGCCTTAGAACAACTGTACGGCCATTGTGTAAAATGCAAAATAAACTTGTTGGATCATGCTGTCAGCTGGTAGTAAGGTAGCTGCAAGTTGTTTGTTCTGCTTGAGTGAGTTCATGCTGAGCAGACTGGATAGAAAGCACTCTTGCAATGTGTACTGGTCCCACACTAATGACCTCAAAATTTATGCAGGACATATCTGGCAAGGTTTTGGTAATCAGAATGAATATTTCATAAGAGCTATCTAAGTGTACACACACACATACACACACTGGCAACAGCAAAAAGAACAGCTGCTGCAAGCAACAGATAAATTATTACAGGGCTTGAGGAACCCTTGCCTTTCCTCTTCAAATCGTTCTTTTCCTTCAAAAGGAAAAAGTTTTAATTGGATGAACTCCAAATGTTGCTATATATTCACAGGTAAATTCAAAGAATAGAAGCAACTTAAAATAACCGTCACAGCCACCATCCTATAGAAAGTTGTGATTTCAAAGTAAAACAAAACTGCATACTACTTTGGGCTCATATTGATTTTTCAAAAGCAATGAGGTGGACTTTAGTAACACACTAAGCGACTCTGCTCTATTTTCACCTCACGTTTCCCAAATTCAATGTTATAGCTTATCTAATGAAGAAAAGGGGTTAGTGGTCTCATAATACTGGCTGGGTATTTCTCCACAAAACAAAATCACCATGTGTTCAGTATAGCTGGTAGTAAGTTCATAAGAGAAGACAAAAAGGGGTAAAGATAATAATGGGAGAGAAATTTGCTGGTATAAGTCTTCAAAGGCAGCCATTACTGGCTAAAGACAGCTGGAAAAGTCACTCATCACAGATATTTAAAACACTGCAAGGAAAATACTTGCTTTTAAATCGAAGATGATCAATGGTGCTGTGGTATGACAAGCTGAATAGCTGGCTATTGATTTAGAAGTATGTGGATGACTAGGCTTAACTCATCTTGACTGTTCCATTTGACTTCATATCAATAATTGGTTTTATTTCCTGCTCTGTAGTCCAGCCATTGACCTCTGATGTCAAAATAATTGAACTTCATGGGTGAACATGGGGACCAATTCCTCATGTCACTAAGCACAGCCAATCAGTAACCCAGAGACACTGCATGTGCTGTGTCTTGCAATGTTTGATCAGGCAGCAGGACTGCATCCTTGCTTAACATCATTTCCCTTCCAGTCCTACATCTCTATGACTGGAAGCAAATTTGTGGTGTGTCAGCCCCCGAACATACAGTAGGGGGCTGGAAGGAACCTCCAGAGGTCATCTAATAGTCCAAACACCTGCCTGAGGCAGGATCATCCCTATCCAAACTATCCCATACAATCCATAATCTCCTTCTCTTTTCTCTCTCTCTGTCTCTCCAAACTCTACATAAGACTCCAACCCTGAACAATACAGACCGCACACCCTAACCTGCCCTAACTTAAGAAGTGCTCAAGCAGGAGAACCATGGCAGCCAATGCCCTGCTTCTATGAAATGTTGTCAGTATACGCTCAAGAGATCCTGGGTAGAGAGCAATGCCTCCCATTACAGATGAAGGCAAAACCCCACAGTCCATACCAATCTGACCATGGGATAAAATTCCTTCCTGATCCCAAATATGGCAGTCAGTCTGACCCTAAGCAGATGGGCAAGACCCTGCAGCTAGAAACCTCTAGCTTAGATCCCAGCAAGAGCACAGGCACAGCCCAATCCAAGTCCTCATCTAGATACATAGAACCACAGAAAATGAGGTGGAAGGCACCTCAGGAGGTCATCAGATCCAACCACTCCTGCTCAAATCAGCACCATCCCCAACTAGATCATCCCAGAGTATCATCACGAGTCTACCGATTCCCCCACTCCAGTGTACAGTACTTTCCCCATTCACCCTACCACTTTACCCCAAGGCAAAGCAGGAAAACACTTCCTAGTGCTTTGTGAACAGCCAACATGGAAGTGACCCAAGCGGAATGAAAAGCCACCATGAATCGGCTTCCCAGAGGAAAAACATCCTGACAGGGAAAGAAAGGCTCCCTAACCTTCTTTCAAGCCAAAGCCTGGGGTTGATGCTCTCTCCTGCTAGTTATGAGCTCAGGACTTGGTGTTACAGTCACAGGGAAGTAGAGCTGGAAGGGATCTCCAGAGGCCATCTAGTTCAGAGATTCCCAACCAGTGTGCGGCGGCACCAAAGCGTGCCACTGGAAATGAACGGGTGTGCCGCAGAATTTTGCCATGGCAGTGACCTACACTAGGAATGAGGATGGGGAATGCCTTAACAGGAGTGCTATGGAAAATCTATATTAATGTAAGTGTGCCTGGGGCTGGAAAAGGTGGGGAAACACTGATCTAGTCTAACCCCCTGCCCGAGGCAGGATCAGCCCCTATCCAATCCAAGAGCGTTGGTGGGCCAGACAAGAATCCAAACTTTGTTGCCTGCTGGAGGCACATTCCTGGCCTCTCCCCACGCCGTTCCCACGTACTCACGCGCTGCCATTCACCATAAAGGACCGCCTGGAAGGTGGAGAGAGATGGCCAGGCTATGCTGCCAACACTGCTCACATGGGATCCAGCAGCACCTTCCCACTTCAGCTGGTACCCAGCAAAGGAGCTAAACTCCAGCTTTTTTTTTTTTTTTTGGGGGGGGGGGGGGGGGGGAAGGGGCAGCTTTGTCTGCCTTTCAGCACAACCCCTCATCTCATGGGAGCAGGCCAAGGCAGGGCCCAGTGCAGCCAGGCAGCAGAGTGAAAGGACAGCTCCCGGGTGAGCCCAGGGCACTCCTGCAGTGGCGGGACCTGCGCACAGCGCCCAGGGCTCTCCAGTGCCAACCCCTGCTGCAGCACCAGCACCAGCACCAGCACCAGGCAGAGTGAGCGCCAGCCTGCACCCCGGGGCGGGGGAGGGGACAGAAACGCCCCTCTCCCGGGTAATCCCCGAGAGGGCCCGATTAGAGAGCCGGAGCAGGAAGGCTGTGGGGAGCGGGAGGCTGGAGGCGATGCTTTTCAGGGGCTGGATCCGAGGCAGAAGAGGCAGCGACGGGGAGGAAAGACTGCCAAGGGCTGCAGCCGGGGCTGGGGCTCCCCTGCAGCAGCAGGAAGAGGGGGAGGAGGAGGAGGAGGAGGCGGGGACGAGGGGTGGCTTGGGTGGGGGGTACCTCGTCCTCTGGCCCGCACGATCCCCTTCTTCTGCAGCACGAAGGTGGAGCCGTTCACCAGGCTGGACACCACGGCCACGCTCAAGCCCAGCGACACGGCGGCGGGGCCGGGGCTCTGCGGGCCGCTCTCCCCCCCCGCCATCTTCCTGCACCGGCGGGTGATGCGGGAGCCGCCCGGAGCCGCACGCTCCCCCCCGCGCTGCAGGTCCTGGTCCTGGTGCTGGTGCTGGCAGGAGCCTGGCGCCCTCTGGCACCGGCAGCGGCGCCGCTGCAGTAGCTCCTCCTCCTCCTCCCCCCAGGCCGGCTGCAGCCGCGGCCCCTGCTGGCGGCAGCGCCACATCGGCGCCGTGCCGCCTGGCGGGGCGGCATTGTGACGTCAGCGGCCCCCCTGGCGTCACGGCTGAGGGAGTGGGAGGCGGGTCGTCTCTTAGTTTGGAGCAGCATTGTGACGTCAGCGGGGCGTGGGTCCTCGCCTGGGTGGAGCGGCATTGTGACGTAATCCCCTGGAATAGGGTGGCCATCACAGAGGAAAGTCCAGTCTCCCTCTGTCCTCCATTGATATGAAACCTGACACTTTTATGTCCTGTTTTTCTCTTGAAGAGAAAAAAAATAAAGGACATAAAGAGGTCGGGTTTCGCATTGGCAACGCATAGTGGTGCACACAGGTGCACGTGCACCCCCTAAGATCGGCAGTGCACCGTCTGCAAAAAGCACCGCTGACAGTGACAGTGGCACATCCAGGCGGTTGCCACTCACCATCCCCTCCCTGCCACCAACACTGCTGGCAGTGTCTGTGGGCAGTCCCTGATAGCCACTGCCCCCTGCCAACACTGCTGGCACCACCCCCTGCTGCCAACAGCACCATGGATGCCTGCCGGAGCTTGCTGCTTGCCGCCACTATGCTCCCACTGCTGACAGTGCCGCTGCCACCTGCGGGAGCTCACCATGCCCCCCCAGCGTCCGGGGGCATGTGGCATTCATGGGGTTTCATATCAATAGAGGACAGAGATAGAGTAGCAAAAACTGGGTTGTCCTCTATGGTGGCCATCCTACCTTGGAGTTAGGGCTGAGGAAGTGGGGCACGGGTCCTCTCCTAGCTGGAGCAGAATTGTGACATTGCTGGGCCCCTGGAGTTAGGGCTGAGGGAGTGGGGCATCAGTCTCCCAGGGCGGTGTGCCACCTCACAGCCCAGGGCTATGACCATGCCACAGCACCACAGGGTCTTGTTCTGGGGCCACACCAGTACCATAGCAAGGAAGTTTGGCACCCGAGGCAAGCCCACACTAATTAGCCCACCCTAGCCCTGTGCACAGATCTGTGGGCACACCCTCCCACGATGGCCTGGGAGTGCACGCAGAGGCAGGAACCGCTCGTCCCCATGCCCCTCCAAACGAGCCACTCGCAACTCCGTCCTGCACCCTGCCCCGGCTGGGAATGCCTGTTGGATGGTAGGGGAGGTCTTCAGAGTGCTGTCTTTTTTTCACCATTATGTTCCTCATTTGGCCTACGTAGCTTTTGATAGGTGATGTTTGTAAAGGTGGTGGTCCTGAGAAGATCTCAAGAAAGCTAGGAGATGATTTTGTTTTATTTGGCAAAAGGAGATTTAGAAATTGTCAGCCTCTTTTGCCTCATCAGCTGTCCCAGTGGCTTCATGTAACTGTTAAATATGATGGAGGAGAGGACTGAAGCACGTAACATTTTGTAGGTGAGAGCTCAAGAGATAGAAGAACAGCAACCCTTTGAGTTTAGTTTCAGATGAAGGATGCCATTTCAGGGCATTTTTGTTAATCTCGGCAGTTTCCCTGAGGCAGAACAGGAGAGTTTGGTGATACTGTGCTGTTTCATCATGACAGCATCAATCCATCTGTCATTGTTGTTACAACATGATCATGGTATTGCAAAGCAATGCTCTCTCTGCTAGCATTTAGTTTGCCCATTACAGTACTGTAGCAGTGGCATCATGCACCAGTGAGCCAAAAACACAAGAACTAAGCACTAGGATTGTCAGTTATTTGGCATTTTGCCAGTTAACTAGCTTCCTTTTCCTCACTCTTAGCCAGGTCCCTCCTACCAAATGCAGAATCATTGTCATTTAATTTTATGTTACTTTCAAATAGTTATTTCAATTCAGTTGGTCAGTCTGAATCACAGCTTATTCTGTGATATTGTTGAAGAGCTCTTTCCACTCCACTTGGCCTTATCAAACTGAAAATAGTATGAAGAGCTTTACTTTAGCATTTTCTTTTTTCTCTTACGCTATTTCAAAATGAGTCAACTTCCAACATGTGACCATGGGAAAGAATCACAAAAAAATCACTCCTGCCTAAAACTGAACATACAGTGCTTATCTACCCATAACAGTCAACTTAAATGCAGGTATACCAATCATTAGCTACCAGTTCCAAGTGCTATAATGACCATAGCAGAAGTGCTCACATCACAGCCCTGCAAGATTCTAACGAATCTGCAAATTCTGCAAAATATCTGTCATCAACAATCTCAGACTGGCCATGAGAAGAAGTAGTTCCTTAATTGGAGCTAGTCTATGAATCTGTGAATGGTATCTCTGGTGTACTGTAAAGCACCACTCACCTCCCACTTCCCCCGGTTCTATCCTGACAGAAAAAGTGGCAACTTTATGGCAGTGGATAGTGTCTTGCTGGGGATCTGGAAACATGAATTTAACCCTGCTCCAGACTTGTGCCCCCTTCAGCACAAGGTCAACCCAGATGTAAATGCAGACCTGACTATTCAGACTGGAGAGTCCAAGGCTGCTAGATATGGTATCAGACACATCGCTCCTTTGTTTGCCATTGGTTTTAGAAACTGGCTTACCTTAACTGTGCTAGCCAGGTGGTCTGTTTGCCTTTGATTTGTTGATCCTCATTTAACACTCTGCAATCATCAATTTTAACATCCCAGTCCTATGGGCCAGCTCACCAAGTCTCAGCAGTACTGATCATATATTTTTTATTATTATACATGATCTTGCTCAGCCAACTCTTTTTGTTTATTTCTTAGGTGTTAGAATTAGAATACAGGGCACTCAAAATGTCTTCCTTACATGTCCCTTAGTGTTTGGATTTATGATATGCACAAAGGCATGGGACTTTTGCATACTTCACTGTTTGTACCATGATTATCTCCTAATCTTCTTCCTGCTTAATTTAAAGTGCTCATGATGACCTTTACCAATTTACCATCCAGCAGATTGGTAACCGTACCATGAGGCCACCAGTCCATACAGCCTCCCTCCTTTATAGTAGAGTGGGCCCCTGGAAGCCAAAAACTTTTCCTCACAACATCCGTTTCTCATCAAAGTATTCATCCTCATAATCTTCTGCCTTCTCTTCACACTCAAGAGATAAGAAGGATTTCCAAAAAAGACTGTCTGAACATTTCTCTCCATCTCTAGATTTCATAGACATTAAGGCTGGAAGGGACCTTGGAAGATCACTAAGTCCAGCCCCCTGTCCCAGGGGCAGGAAGTCAGTTGGGGGTCACAGGATCCCAGCAAGATAAACGTCCAATTTACTCTTAAAGCAATCCAGAGTAGGTGCTTGCACCACCTCTGACAGCAGTCTGTTTCAGGTCTTGGGGGCTCAAAGATCTCTGAAGCCTTCTTGGATCTTTGAAATGATATCAGGTAGTGCTTCAGTAGACTACTGCCAAAAGCATCCTTTCTGCTGACCTCCTAAACTTGTTTATGATTGTGGCAATGTCCTCTGTTGTTGTACCTGCTGTCCTTACACCTTGACAGAAAACCAGTCTGAAGAATACTAGAATTCTAGTTGTAGATGCTGTCCTGTTGTCAGGCTTAGCAATTACATTGATGTGAAATCATAGAGAAGTAGGGCTGGAAAAGACCTCCATAGGTCAGAATTAGAACTATAGAAACCATTTTATACAATCCATAATCTAAATTCTGCATAAGACTCTACTACCAATCCTGAACAACACAAAGAAAACACTCTAAGCCAGGGATGGGCAAAATGCAGCCCGGGGGCCAGATGCGGTCCACCAGGCCATTCTATCTGGCCCGCGGGGCCCCTAAAAAATTTAGAAAATTAATATTAATCTGCCCTGGGCTGCCTGTCATGCGGGCCTCAATGGCTTGCCAAAACTCAGTAAGCGGCCCTCTGCCCAAAATAATCGCCTGCCCCTGCCCTAAGCTGCCACAGGTAAAGCAGGGGAACCATAGGAGCCAATGTTCTGCTTCTATAAAATGTTGTCAAAATAAACTCAAAATAGAGGACAATGTCCCTGCAACAGAGGAAAGCTGTAACAGGGGGCCTTCCCGTCCACCGGTTTCTGGGCTAATTGCCTGCCTCTCTCTCCTGCCACGCCTTGGCGATACAAAATTATGGTGTTAATTAGGCGGGAGGTTGCCCATTTTAGCACCCCAATGCCAGGGGGTGCTACCTGTGGCTCCGAACCTCCCCTGCACTGCAGCCCATGCCTCAGAGATGGCATCTAAGTTCTTGAATTCTCTGGCCCCACACTAGGCCCCATAATCCTCCAGTCTGGACCCCAACTGGATCCCTCCTATCGGGTGGACTACTATACCCTCATTTGGGCTGCCTAGCTCCCTGCACTCTTTCCCCTTTTGGGTGTGGCCCCCCAGTGACCTTTGGACACACAGGCCCTGACCTCACCTCCAAGGCCATTCAAAACCCCAGGCCCTTAGCTCTGGGCATCCCTCACGGTGGGCCCCTGGCCCTTTTGACCTTTCTGGTCCTGGCCCCAGCATTGATCAGTTGAGGGTGCCTCAAGTCAAGCTTCTGAGCAACTAGCCCATACTCTCTTACATGGGTTCACCTTCTCGGGCCCTACTATGGGGTCACCCACTCAGTTGGGGGCTGGGATTATTAAGCCACCCCCACCCACCTTTCACCAGGGTGGTAACTGGCCTGGCATTTCCTGGGGGCTCCCACTCCATTAAGAGCCCCACCAGCTCCCCCATCCCCAGCAGGGTGCAGTTTTACGCCATGCCCAGGACCAGGAGCCTTCTGCTTTTACCTTCTGATGTTCCTGCTGCAGCTCAGTCAGGTGATGTTTCCACCTGGGCTGACAACAGCAAATTGCAGCCTTTATATCCCTTGTTCTCAAAATGGCTGCCACCATCAGGCACCTTCTGGCTGCCTGAGTCTGTCCTTAAAGTGGAAGGCACCCAAAGCTGCACTGCCAGAAAGTCAAAAACCCCTACAGTCTGTACCAGTTTGACCGTGGGGTAAAATTCCTTCCTGACTCCAAATATGGTGATCAGCCTGACCCCTGAGCCTAGCAGCAAGACCCAGAAACCTCTGGCTTGGGGCCCAGCAGGAGCGTTGGCACACACCAGTCAAAGTTGCAGCCTTGGCTATAGGCACCCAATGCTTCTCAGGGAGACT